TTTAATTACTCAAGGAGAATGCTTTCAAGCGCCACTTCCATCTTGTTTTTTAATTGGTAAGGCTGAATCTACTTAACAAAGATATCGACTTCAATGCTTGAGAAATGTTCTATGAAGTATCCCCTATAATAATACTTAATTATAAAATCTAGATCAAACCAAGCCACAAGGCTTGGGTTTATTATTTGAGGAATCGGTATGTAGTTATTTCATGATATCAGATTAAAAGCAGATACAGACCTGTTTTCCTGCCAGGCGGGTAATATTGTCGGAGACCATTAATTCGTATCCAATTGCAGTCTGCTCCATCTGATAATGTTTCAGACTTTCATATAGTTGAACTAGATCTCTATTTATCCAGACAGCTTCGTCCCAACGACAAGGACTCCCTGGTAGGCAGGCACTGCAGGCCATGTACCAACATCCAAGAAGAGCTAAAAAGAAAAAAAGAGACTAGATTATCACAATGCAAATTACCTTCTTTTGTTTCATGATCGTATCAAGCACTAACCAGTCAATTAAGGTTTTCTTTTTGCATAGTTGCATTTGTACTTAAAAATGTACCCCTCCTTCGGTCAATACATAATTTTTGAGGAGATGCTTATCAAACATGAAACGATGCCGATGGTCTGGTAAAAAGCCAAACTATATTCTAGTTAAATTGAAGGTATGAAGACCAAGATGGTGTGACCTTTTGGAATGTACCACATCCACAGTCCTACTCTGTAAATGCTGATGCATACAATAGACTCCGGACTAGGTGCGTTCCTCTAAGTCTTCCTACTAATATGACCAAGTTGCGAAAACACGGTCAAACAACTTCTATACTTGCTTCAGCTCAATTACTTCCCTCTTATACTTACTGCTACTAATGTGGAGACTTTAAATGTCTATGGTAAAGTCATGATTGAATAAATTTATATGAAACCGAAGGATTTTTCTCTCTCTAGTTTCTTTTACTTCTAGAACAATCTCACCTAAGAAATCAAGAAAATCCCTTAGAAAAACCAGTGACCTAAAATAATGATCAACAAATATTTTACTGTCCATCATCGAAATTGCAGACTTACAGTTCTGTTGGCCATCCATCATTATTGCATCTTGTTGCTTAAGCCGAAGTATAGACTGCCAATCTCTGGGTACTCGTGGATCCCCCGAAATGGGTGTCAATCCACATGGAAGAGATATATTAAAAGGATGGAGACAGTCCTGGTGAAAAAATGAAGGAATCAGTAGAATAGATAATAGGAATATTTTTATTAAAAATAAATGAGTAATATGATAGCTCTATTAGTGCTGAAGTTAGGAGGGCTTTTAAATTATAGTATCGTCAAGCATGTCCCTTGCCAAAGTTAAGTAAGGATAAAGTTAATAAGTTATGAAGACCAAGAGGGTGTGGCCTTTTGTATGGTCGCAGTCTCTTTTATTTGTATAGAAGTTGTTTAGCCTTGTTTTCGCAACTAGGCAGATAGAGCTAGAGGAACGCACCTTGTCTGGAGCCAGAGTTCCAGAGTCGGACCGTGGACTTAGTACATTCCCAGAAGTTTCGCCGGCATCGTAGTTGGCATCGTCAGTGAGCTTTGCCATAGCTAGCACCACACTGGAACTCGTCAAATAGACAAGTGAAGTCGATCTTTTGACCAATTTTGTGATAAATAATTGTGGTAACTCTCCTTCTATATATATCCTCGTATCACCCCTTTAATATCCCTATTTCTAACTTGTTTATCTAAACCTATTTGAAACCTATTCACACTCTCCGCTGGTTTCCACATCCATACCACTGTGCCGGGAGTGTTAACTCAAGGCTGCGGTTTAATCCGCAATCCTCTCCCTTCAGGTCCTATCAGTAGGATCCTTCCCTTATCTGCATGTTTCAATGATTTCACTCTGTCGCTGTCACCGTATCCTTTCTACTCAAGGCGTTATGTTCTACACTCTGCCTCAAGCCATTGATAGCACGTATACTCCAGCCTCACTGAGCAAGCCACTAAAGTCCGGATTCTTGATTGGCATGGCAACCTAACGGGACGCTGCAAATTCCCTTATCGCTGTGCTGCATGTGCACCCAGAAAATCTCGTGGTCAAGCCACTTCATGGACCACGTCTATGAGCAAACATATGTACGAATAGCTAACTATGAATGGCAACCATCGTTTCTCTCGCTTTTCTATCCTTACTGCCAAGTCTATGATTTTCTCTTGCAAGCTGATCCCACAAATGTGATGGTTTTATTTGATTTGAATAGACTCACTGGGTTCTGAGTGTTCCTCTCTAGATTCCTTGTAATTTATTTTCCTAACATAAAAAATATTACCATGGTCCAATCATCTTAATTTTTGCTGATATTGCTGTTCCCTGATTTTCTCCGAGTTTGCTTAGGCAGTATGCAAAGTTTTCGTTAATACTGTCTTATTCAAGTCCCCGGTTCATTAGGTTTCTTCGAGTTAGGATATCGATGGCTTCTCGTATCGTACGCTTTCTTGTATTTCTACTATATGCAGCCAGCTCGTTTGTCAATTTCCACTCGATTCGAAGTCCGGTCCGTGCTGTGTGTTTGGCCAATTCAGAGCATTCAGTCTCCTTATATTTGTGCAGAGTTTTTCGTGCTCCTTATTTCGCAGATGATGCTTGCCACTGGTTAACAAATAAACTTATGCTGAAAGTTGCCGAGTTTTATGTCAAAGACCCCGGAGCGATTCCGTTTGTCAACCTTCTCGTGTTATGACGGCAGGCATGTGAAGAGTGCTGCCTTTTATTTTGTTATTACCTTGATATTCCATTATCTTGGCAACGGTCGCAATTTCTGGGTCTGTTCACAGGAGGGTAGACATATTCATTTTTAGTCGTCCTCTCAATTTCTGGCCTTATTTTCATAAAATTCTAGTTGAAATCTGCTCTTTATGATCATTAGCTTTCTTTCTATAACTTCTCTGGGATACCCGTTACTAAGACTCCTCGTTTTAGAACTCGGTGTCCGTTAGTCTTAAGCTTATAATTATCATACTCCTCATTATTCCGATCTTCAGTCTGTAGTTGTGATGAGACTGAAAATTGAGGATTATTCCCGCATGTTATTTCTTACTGAATAGGCTCCTGCTGAGTATTCCGTTACTTGCGAATTACTTCAATATCCAGGACGAGTATTTGTTTATCCTCCTCTACCTTCATTGTAAATTTAATTCTTCTATCAAATTGGTTTGTAAAATTGAGGAACTCATCCAAATTTTCCTTACCATGTAACCAAAGTGTAAGTAGTCGTCCGGGTATCGCATAAGCACTCTTGGTTGCAGACGTGACTTCTCGAATGACTTCTCCGATCTCTCCATGTATACATTTGCCAAGAGTTGAGAGTGGAAATCCCATCGGTAGTCCAAATATTTGCCCATAGATACGGCCGTTGCATGTGAAATATGTGGTACTTACTGTCAGGTTGACTAATCGTGGTAACCACTCCTTCCGTATCCGCTCTGCTTCCAGGATATCCTTCTCTCGTTCCAAGATCTCCAGCAGGGCGGTGACTGCCTTCTCGCCTGAAACGCTTGCGTACATGGATTGTACATCAAAAGTTGCCAACAGTTCCGTCCCTGCCAGTCAAATATTTTGGATCTTTTGATAAAATTCATATGAACTCTTCAAGATGTTCAAGAGTCTGTTTCTTACTTTCTTAAGCTCAAAGCATATAAATTTCGCTAGTTTTTGTGTTGCTCCATGCTTTTAGTTTACTATTAACCTTAGTGGTTTCCCTTGTTTGTGTAGCTTTGGTAGTACGTAGGCTGTTCTTACGTCATTTTTTATTCGTGAAATCATCGTCTATCTCTTGATTTCTCCGTTATTATGCATTTCCTTTCGCATTTCCTTCAGTATTCTGTTGATCTTCATTGTTGGATCATTTCTTACTATTTACTAGGTGATTCTGTCGGCTAGAAAACTTTCAATATTCTCCGTGTATTGTTACCTGTTCATTATAACAGTTGCACCTCCCTTATCCGCATGAAGAACTTGGTCATTCAATTGTAATTTTCAAGATAGCTTCATCACTACATTCCTTTACATTGGCTCTTACTGGGACAGAATTCTCAAGATTCATTCCATTCCATCTCCCGTTTGGTTTCTTGTGGAAATTTCTCCGAGATGTTGATAACTTCTGAAGGATATCTTCTAAAATCTTCCCTTCTTTACTGAGTGATAAATTTAACCCTTTCAGCAGCAGCTCCAAAGTTTCGGAATCAAGAGTTATTAAGGATGGGTTTACTACCTCAACCTTTTCGTCAGTTGTAGATATTGATGCCTTCAATATCGAACCATTAACATTTACCCAAGTCGCCTTGATCCTGTGTGGTCTTATTTTGCCATATCGAAGCAATTTATTGTCAAGCCGTTTATATATCTAATCCCGGACGTCTTGTAACTTCAGATCAGAAATGTCCTGGAGTTATTTAAAATCTACTGGAGTAAGAACCTTGCCTAGATACTTCCAAAATCTAGACTTAATATTTATGAAATTAAAAAGCTTGATACTTTCAGTCCCATAAATTTTATCTAATTTCGGAGTGGACGAGAGAAAAAATATATCATTAATAGAAGTTGTTTGACCTTGTTTTTGCAACTTGGTCATATTGGTAGGAAGACTCAGAGGAACGCACCTTGTCCTGAGTCCATCGTATGCATAATCATTTCCAAAGTCGGACCGTGGACGTGGTACATTGCCAGACGTTTCACCGGCATCGTCAGTGAATTTTGCCATTCATAGTACTATATTACAACTCATCAAAGAGACAAGTGAAGCCAATCATTTAACCAAACGTGTGCTAAACAGTTATGGTATCTCCCCTTCCGCCCTGGCCTATTCACATTTCCTATATCCTTTATTACGCAACATTGAACCTAACCAAACCAAGCAGTACCACAACATTTGTGGATTGGCACACAAGAGACTAGGGCATAGGAAGTCATAGACTTGGTTTTAGATATATAAACAGGATAGACGCGGCGGAGATGGGAGCTAGTGGACTGATAGTAGGTTTTATAGGAGACGCTGTCCATGTGACAAAGGCCTGACCATGAGACTTACTCAGAGGCTTGAGCCTCGAATTAGTCACCCAGATGCAGGCTAGGGCCAATAACGCCTCGAGCGGCACAGATGGGGTGGGTCGAGTAAAATATGTGAACCAGGGAGAGGGCAGACGGATCTTATGGAGCAAGAGAGGGAGTGTGGTATGACCTATGGAAGGAGGACTGCGTAACAATATGGCAGACTCTGATCAACATTCCCGGCACAAGGATGAAGGGGGGTGAGAAGGCCAGCATGGATTGTGGAGGGTTATCATGAAAGCCGCTCAAAAGAGCAGACCGTACTACATTTAATTAAGCAAGTATAAAATTGTGACAGTGAAGGCGTGATAGGAGGATATAGGAAATGTGAATAGGCCAGGGCAGTAGGGGAGATACCAGAACTGTTTAGCTCACGTTTGGTGAAAAGATCGGCTTCACTTTTCTCTTTGACGATTTGTAATATGGTGCTACGAATGGTAAAGCTCACTGATGATGCCGGCGAAACGTCTGGGAACGTACAATGTCCACGGTCCAACTTTGGAAATGATTATTCATACAATGGACTCCGGACAAGGTGCGTCCCTCTAAGTATTCTTACCAATATGAACAAGTTGCGAAAACAAGTTCAAACAACTTCTATACAACAAAAGTAGACTGCGACCACACAAAAGGCAACACCATCTTGGTCTTCATACCTTCTTATATTGTTATTTGAATCCAACATTGTTCTGACAATCAATTATGATACAGTATCATGTCTTTTAGCAACAGTTCTGTATCGAGTAACATTTTAAGAATAATTTTACCTCCAAATTCATTCCTGTTTATTCCCTATTCTATTATGCCAAATTTCGTACATATTGTGGATATTGTATTTTGCTAAGCTTTATTTTCATTCCTCAAGTCACTTGTCACATCGTCTCCATAAATGTATAACTAATCTACTTGGATAAAGACAGGCATATGTTCTATGGGAATTTACGTGTCTGTATTCATCCTATTTCGTCTAAGGTGATGAAGGACTGGTAGTAGAATTTTCTCACAATGATATGAGTTGAGCTGACGT